AGTGGTTGACCTGGTGTTGTAGTGGTTGACCTGGTGTTGTAGTGGTTCACCGGGTGTGGTAGTGTTGCTTCGCAAAGCTATTACATCAATGGTGGTTGGAAGCATACTAGGTTTACCAAACCACGAGGTCGGCGAGCAGGCCCTTTGAACCAGACCTGGGTAGGCAAATGAGATCCCCACTGGTGGTGTATGTATCCACTGAGTTCACCAGACCTGGATTGTCTCAGGTGGTGTAAGATAGACCGTCGATAGACTATGTTTCTATGTTTGCCTGCATTGTTTTATCCCACAAATGTGGTTTTGATCCTCCAAATCTCACCCGCTGTAGCCCACAAATAAACACCACGAGCGCTCGTCGATGTCGCTTGATCGTCTACAGGCGATGCTGTCGGTGGCGGGATTTGAGAAGTCCAAGCTGGTGGGGTTGTGTGGCGGGCTCAGGGAATGGAGGGTGGGGCTGCAAGACACGCGGCGCCTGGTGGCCCTAGATGGGGCACAGCCCCAAAATGGCCCAGGCGCAGTCCGACTCGGCAGTGGTTCTCCCATCAGAATCCCCTGCATATTCAGGCGGTGTAGAAATTGTAGGAGGGTCCTGCGCCCGGGCGAGGACGTAGCGTTGTTGTTCGGTTCGTGGACGTTGCTCACAGTGAAGGAGAGGGGTTGCAAGTCACCAGTTGCTTTCACAAGAAGAACAGACAAGACTAGAATTGCGACATGTGATGTTTGTGGATTGCCAGAAGCTGGTGATGGTAAACGGACCAGGTGAAGACGCACGGAAGTCTGAGGGTCCAGAGGTGCGTCCGAGGGGGCGAGTTGGCAGGGGCAGGGTGGGCGGAAGTCTGTTGGCAGTGGCAGAGGGTGGGTGTGTTTTTTTTCCTCAAACATATCAATTATCATCATCATCTTCATCTTCATCTTCATCATCATCATCATCATCATCATCATCATCATCATCATCATCATCCAAGCTTTGCAAGATGTGGGAACCGGGCAGGGACAGGCACCAACATTCAACTCTGGATTCCGCAACAGACTTTTCGGAGCCAAGAAAATGTTGTGCGCGACTACTACGCCAGGCAGTTTGCCAGATTGCCAACGAGCTCTTCCCCAAAGGCTGGCGTGGTTTTGGAAGCACACTCGAACGGACCCACACCTCTCGAAAGTAGCCTCATCAACCCTGAATCAAGTTTTTGGATGTTGTGATATGATGTGATATGATGTGATATGTTGTGTGGGTCCTGGTGATTCAAGGAGCGTGTGGTGGTCAACAAAGACCAATTGACTTCGGGGTGGTTCGGGTTCGGCAAAGACACAGGGTTCTCCATAAATGCACTTCGTCGCTTCTTCAGTTTGACGTCCGTGTATGCCTAGGCCCTAGGCCTAGGCCTTGCCTGCCCACCCAGCTACTGTAAAGCCAAGCAGGTGACCAGAATTTTTGGCGGAAGCGGCCAGAAACTCTGGTGCTCTTTTGAGGTGGGTTCACTATACCGCCAAACAAAAACTAGGCCTATATAGGCAAATGCAGCGGGTGTTTTTTCTTTTTAGTTGTTGTTTTACAAATGGTTATATGTGTTTTGTAGACACCTTCAATCCATTTGGATGTGTGCATCCTGAAATAAAACAAGCTAGAAACATGTTTTGACCTGTTTTTTTCTCTCCTACCATGATTTATGTAGCGGACGACCAGGAATTTGCTGCGCTCAACCTGCTGAAACTAACACAAATTCGCTGCGAGGTGAAGGCCTTGTGTGATCCACGCACTTCTCCGTCCAAGAACAGAAGAAAAACACAGATGTGGCGAAGGAAAAACGATGAAAAACAGGCTTCCTTTTTTTCCGAAGCCCTACAAACTTCATCGAAGACTTCCTTCTTCGAAACATCGACCTCGGATCGAAGACTATCGGACGATCGAAGACTATCGGTCTCCAAAAAGCCAACCGTCAAAACCGACTGAACGCGAGTTCGACCTCTTTGGCCGAATCGGTCGCGTCTCTCGACTCTCGAGACTCTGCCGAAATGGCAAGGTTTCTCCTGCGCGGGGACCGACAAGGCCATCCAGAAGCTGAAGGACCCTGAGAATGACAGTGAACAATGAAGGGTGTTGGGCCTGTTTTGACTCCTATGGGTAGTGGATGATGAATTTCAGGTGGGGTGAAACGAGTCACCCCAACAAGTCCATGCTCCGCGGCTTCGCCGTGGAGCTTCTCGGGGCTTTCCATGACGCGTCGGGTGCTTTCCAAGATCAGATGTTTTCGAACCAGCGAGCATTCGACACGTCTCTTTGGGAACTGTTCCAACTTGGTCAAGAATTCTAAATAATTCTAATGTTTGTGTTGCTCTCTGCGCAGCCTAATGAGGGAAGGTTCTAGCTTTGTCAACTCTCACAGAGAAGTCATGCTTGATCATCCGCGTCTTGATGTCTTGATGCGGCTACTGCGACTTCTGCAGTCGAGTGACACTGGGGAAGAGGGCAAGGAAGCAGGAATGAATCGCGGTACAGCGCCACTCCTGGAGAGTTTTGGCCTCTTCCATGATCTGCCTCTTTTTGTCAAGGATCAACTGCTTGTCAGAGTCTGTGATCTTCCGGGAACTGCGTCAGAGGATAAGGTTGAGACTTGGCAAGCCCTTGAACGCGAGCCTGCTGAAGATGGAGATGTCATCTACAGGTGTTGGGCTTGGCAAAGGCGCCATCTTCTTCGGATGTGGCGCCAACGTTTTGGTTGATCGTTCACTGGGTAGTCACCTTGCAATGGAATTTCTACGGAGCTGGACTCAGATGTCTTCTGGTTGATCTCACATGGCACATGGCTGAGGATCACACATTTGTGTTCATCCAACAAGCGCTTAACCTGCAGAGTGGTTGTTGTTCCGCGTTAATTGTTATGTATATACACACTGCATCACTGATTGTTGTTTGTCCAGCCCATTGATGTGCCATGCGCTGGTGGCATGTGTCAGAGATGGAATACGTTAGATGTCACTTGTGCTTGGTCCAAGCGGCATGTGCTCCTTTTTCTTGATCAGAAGATTATTCACTTCCCAAGGTCACAGACATCAGGTTCATTTCCTGTGATGCTGCTGGATGGTGCTACCCAAGTTGCCAAGTTGATGTTGGGTAGCTGTTGCTTCGAATCCGCAGCAAACGTTTTGTACCTTGGAGGTCGGGCCTGTTTAAAGCATGTTTGTCAAAAAGGTAGAAACAGAAACCAGTCGATAGTATCTCCCAGATAAGTCCACCCCTGAACATCCCTAAACATCAGTTCGAGACTCTTTTTGTGCGCCTAGGCCTAGACCGTGTTTTGCCAAACCACTGGTGCTGCTACTGAACACCTTCTCCTGCACTTGCAGGAGTTGGCCGATGAGGGTGGTGCACTCCAAGCAAAGGCGGAGCGACAGCGACTTACGTACTATCAAGAGGAGCAGGGTCTTGTCCCAGGGAAACGGCGCCAGTGAGCGTCGGAGTACATGTCGACTACGCTCATGGGATCCCAAGATCGAAGGGGTCGATGATCGAAGTATGTAAGTTACAAACCAGCATCCCAAAAAACGTTGCACCCGCAACCAGAACCATGTGTTTCTTTCTCCATGTTTTCCCTCTAATCCCCCACCTTCAGGTTGCTGAAACCCTCTAGATGTTACCCTTCATCGAACCTTCGACCCTTCATCGCCCTTCGACCCTTCGTCGCCAGGTGCTGAAGACCTCGGGCGGATTCCACACCTCGTTGATGGCTCCCGCCAAGGCCAAGTTGGGCCAGGCGGGTCCGGTCCGGGGCCGAGGAGTCGTGGGCTCTGGACGGTCTCCACCAGGAGACGGAACGTGTGGACGTGCCAGGTGTGTGTGTGTGTGTGTGTCACTTCCTTTTTCTGAATAGGTGGGTTTTGGAAGATGTGTGTGTGTGTGTGTTGGGGTGCATCCGGTGGCGACTCCGGTTGCAAAAGGAAGGGGCGCAACTCAACAGATCCGCTGGAAATCAAATCCGGGATTTAGTGTGATCCGGGATTCAGCCCTTGTCCTCGAAGAGTCCCCATCCGGGCGGTTTAAGACGAATGTCCCGCTCGCAAACTACTTTCGTTTAAC